TAAATTAGGATGATTTTGTCTAGTTCAAGTTCACACATCTAACCGCATTCCTCCACCTCTGCTCACCTGAACCCCTAAACTTATAAATTGCCAGCTGTCACTAGCCAAAAGCACGAAAGTGGCACGTGAAGTCAACGTGATAGGTAATGCACTGAGAGTTAGCTCCCGATAGAACTATAACTGGGATGAACGGTTCCCAGACGGTGGGTTGATGTGTCTCCACCGTGTTTGTGGTAGAGGAGCTTGTGTGTTCTAGTGACCTAGCTACTGGTTGGGTCTCCCATCCCATGTCGGACAGGTCAAAGGTGATGCACCTGATGAAGGTGGATGCACACCTGTTACTTTCAGGGGTCTTCGCGGCGAAATGGTCAAACTGTTTGCCTCGCCCTCTGAAGGCTGTAGGTTCGTTTCAAGGCCACGCCGTTCAGTTCACAAGTGCAATTTTTACGCATATCCCTGGAAATCGTCACTGGAGCTACGGAGGTCGTGCTCCGTGTGACACTCTCGGGAGGTGGCTAACTGTTCTGCATAGAGACATAGTCACATAAAATAAAAACCCGATCCTCTCACCTTTAAATGTTACTCTGAAGGTAGACTAGGAACAGCCTTTCATGGTATTTTGGACGACAGAAAGCAAGACCAGCGTGTATTCCCTACTGTTGAAAGAGATACATTTAGACTCAGTAGTCTGCTAATACTATCTGGAAGGTTCCTCAAGTATTATCAAATAGCAGGTTCTTGGCACAACGTCGCTCAGATAAAAAAATGGTTGGCTGAAGGAAATCTGGTCTCTTACCAGATCTCCCGTCTCCTACACTTTCCTTCCCAATAAGTCACCTATATCATGTGCCCATAATTGTCAAAATCAACAACACGTTTTCTAAAGCCGAACCGTCTACAGCTGACTTCTAGACCTAAAATTAAGGGATTATGAAACTGCGTTCACGTCCATTAAGTCACTAATGCCAGCGGGGACAGTAAAAGGCGAAGAAAAGCTATTTAGAAGAAGAATTAAAATGCTTGCTCCAATCGACGTAGAGAGCCTTGATAAAACTGCACACTTCGTGGTGCCATGATGTTCATTTGGTGCCATTATGATGTTCATTTGGGGCTATTATGATGCTCATTGGCGTCAAATCATGGGACACGTTGCTAGATCTTACTACTACTGACTGTGTACTGTAGGGGCTTCAGGAGAACGTTTTGTTAATGTCTGCTTTTCCACGATGCGATTCTTGCACCACTGTGCGAAAGGCATGAGAACGCGCCCCATTAAAATGTCCTAGAATTAAAATTAATAAAATGTGGGATGCCTTGTTGCATGGCATTGAGGTGTGTCGTCACACGAACTGATCCATGCTGCAGGAGATCGTGGATTATGGAGAGGCATGATCGCCCACGCCAGTCGGCAAGGCACTTAATGATGATGATGGTGATGCGAATTGAAATGAAACACCTGTCTAATAAATTTATCGTTAAAAATAAAATGTCACTGAAATCGGTACAAACAATACTGCGGGTCAGCGCCCTTGACTGTTTGAGAACCAGTGACCTAGATCAGAGGAGAAACAACAAATCAGTAACGATAACCGCTAGACACACTTGGAACTGAGTGAATAAACAACCACTCCGCTGCCCAAGGTTCTGGTTACACGAGCATCCATGACTGTCTAGGGCAGCTACGTAGTTTAAAAAAAAACACACAGACTTATTATGGGGAAACAATTATAGGGGCGTTGGAACCTGGGGATGCATCCTAAGCTTCCCTCCTGCCTCCTTCCCACAAAATAATTAACGGTGGGAAAAAAAGGGGGCGGGGGGGGGGGGAGGGAGGTCACCGGATTCCATCTGTAAACTTAGAGGAGAGGACTAACTACCTCATCCACCCACCCGCCCCCTTTTCGCCAACTATGTATAGAAGTTATCTTTTTATTTGTTTGTACACAAATTATTTTAAATAAGACCTAGTCACGGGCTTGCAACCAGAAAATGTGTTGAGGTCAGCACCCCACGGGCCTATGTTTTCTTTGTGTCAGCATCCCTAAAAATTATAATTTTGATCCACTTTTACAGTCGATTTTCTTTTTTTTTTTTTTTGGTGGGGGAGGGGGGGGGGAAACCCCAGGGTTCGACGAGCGGCACTGGCCACTGTCCCTGTGTCAATGTACAATGTCTCTTGTCATCGACCCAAGCTCTCTTTGGAAGTTCTCACTGGCTGGCGCATCAGTTCGTCTTAGCAATGGGCCTGCTGTTGCTGTATTTCTGAATAGATGACCGATCCATCTGAGCTTCTGCTTTACGATATTTGACACATATGTTCTCCTACCTTCCCTCTACCCAGCGATGGGCCTGCTGTTGCTGTATTTTTTAGCAGATGACCGAACCATCTAACCAGATTAACGATGATATATGACATAGGATATTCTCCTCCCTCCCCCTCCAGTCAGCGCCTTCTCCGCCTCCCTCCACGTGTTTCTTGAGAAGGCATTCCTGTAGTCGCCTCCATCGTAAACTAGTTTTAACCTTCTGGGACGGAAATGATTAAAATTATATCAAGACTAGTAGGATATCATGTCACATTTACGATAATCGTCCTAAATGTTAAAACTGTGCATTAACCCGGAGGGTTCAGGCAGGTTCAGTGCGAAGACAATGGCTTGAATCATTACAGAAGTCCACTGTGCGTGGAGTCACCTTTATTTTTGTTCCGGGACACGCAGGCGTTGATGGAAATGAAAGAGCTGACAGGTTGGCTGGATCCGCTATCACTACCGACGGTCAGCCTATGGATCATGCTGATATTATCAATGCCCTCAGAGACAGGGGAAGGATAGAGGACTTTGGTGGCAGTGAATTCACATCACTGGCCAGAATGGCAGACTTGGGAATTAAGATCGGCACAGCAAAAACGAGACGCACACCAGACACGCCAGAAGACTTGTTAATCAACATAGAACTGGTACTATTAGCCATCGGACGTTGGGGTTCATACTGAGGGGAGGATCTGAGCACCTATGGACATGTCCGGAGTGCAATGAGGATAACCCAACTAACTAACTAACCAACCAACCAACCAACCAACCAACTAACTAACTAACTAACTAACTAACTAACTAACTAACTAACTAACTAACTAACTAACTAACTAACTAACTAACTAACTAACTAACTAACTAACTAACTAACTAACTGTGCATTAATATCTGGACAGCTCGGAGCACTGACACTAAATATACACACAACCAAAAACGGCACACTGCTCTTAATGATATACTGGACTGCGATTTCGTAATGCCCCGAAAGTCAATACAAACATACAATCTATTGCAATAATTCAGGCTAAAAATAGCATCGTTTGCTTGCTTAAACAGGAGAGAAAATATCAGGAGGCGGTTTTACAGAGAAAATACAATTTGACAATTTGAATTCCCGGGGATGCTAAGATACGGGACGTCGGTATCTTGTACGCTCCCCCCCCCCCTTTTCCGCCCCCATACTTTTTTTTTAATCGCGGCGATGGGGGAGACAGAATAGACCCATTCCACTTAATAAGCAAAAACCGAACTTGTTGGATCAAAAAAAAAAAAAAACATATAGCAACCTAAATTCACAAAACAACGTCTCAACCGCTCTCTTGAGGGCGGAGAAGGAGAAGCAGGAAAAGCAGAAGAAGAAGCTGATATTCAAAATATGGATACCTCCTGTGGCGCTTATAAAAAAAAATTTTACGACGCGGGTCAAAGGTAAGAATGGAAACAGAACAAGCTAAGGTTTCGATAGAAACTGCCAATTACTGCCTTTATACCACTTTATACCACTTTATACCACTTTATACCACATTGCGGTGTAGGCGGGTGGGGGGGGGGGTCTTTGAATGAGCCTGAATACTTACGACCGCGGGGCTAGTGCTGTCGCCACGACTGTGCAGGTGATGATTGTATTTTGCTCACAACAGAAACAAATGCCCATCCCTACAGAGGATTCGAACCCGGGTCTCCCGTTTGAAAGCCCAGTGTTCTAACCATTAGGCCAACACCGTTTCGCTTGAAGCACTTTATACCCAAAAAATAGTCACTTAACTACTCCACCTAACTATAACAAAGGCATTTTACAGGTTTCAATAAAAAACAATAGGGGCGTAAACAGAGAAGGAGGTGTCGACAGACACACAGATAAACGAACAAGCTGACAACCAGGTGAAAGAACACACGGTTGGACAAACAAAAAGAGATGCCAGCAAACAGGTAAGCAGACAGACAGAAAGACTGATGGAAGGAAAGAAGATTAGACCCACTGCCTCCTTACAGCATGTCATATGAGTCGTCTGATTAAAGGTTTTCTTCAAAGTCTGCCTGAGAGGCAAGGACCCAGTAGTCTGCACACAAATAAGCCAGATCTGTAAAACAGACGTGCACGCAAACTCAAGTTCCTGAACAAAACCAAAGTCCGAAGAAGAGTTTACAGAAGAAGAGGTTTGGTCTCCTTTGCAAGATGGCAAGCAGCCTGCTGAAAGAGTCATACAAAGCATCACGTTCTTAGCCCGCACTAAATGATGCACATGTGAAATAAACCAAGACAACTCAGAGCGTGAGGTAAACAGCTAGACCACTCTGCCATGAGATCCCCTACCTTGTTGCTTTGCCCTCCGGAATTAACCCTAAAGTCGCAGGGAGTGACAACACACAGAGGGTGACAGCACATAGAGGGTGACAACACACAGAGGGTGACAGCACAAGGAGGGTGACAGCACACAGAGGGTGACAACACACAGAGGGTGACAGCACAAGGAGGGTGACAACACACAGAGGATGACAGCACAAGGAGGGTGACAACACACAGAGGATGACAGCACACAGAGGATGACAGCACACAGAGGGTGACAGCACACAGAGGGTGACAGCACACAGAGGGTGATAGCACGCAGAGGGTGACAGCACGCAGAGGGTGACAGCACACAGAGGGTGACAGCACACAGAACGAATGGAACAGCGGGGACTTACCAGCAGCATCCAGAACATCAGTATCGATGCTGTCACTGGGCATACACAGGATTCCCTCCACACCCACCACACTGTACAGCAGTTCTCCTTTGGGCACTGCCTGCTCGGAGTCCCACTGCTTCACATCGCAGGCGTTCAAGAGAATGTCCACGCCTTGTTGTGGGATGCGACGGGTTACGTACACCAGAGGGCGACAAGAGTTACGGGAGTTGCGGTAACTAGGCACTATCTGGGTGTCAAAACTGGTTGTGACATTGCCTACTTCGGGTATAATCTCTCTAGGTTCTGAGGCTAGAGTGCTCATTTTGGTAGCCTGCGATATTCTGAGCCTCAAATAGCGCTCTTTATAAGTGTTAGCCGGAAATGTCGTCACAGGGGCAGACCAATAAAACTTGCAGATTAAATGTCCACGCTGAGCGTCAAAAGACGGTGAAGAAAATGTGTTTTAAGTGGAAGCAATGATATCTTGCTTGCTATAAGATAATCTACCTAGAAAAAAAAAATAACTAGGAACAGCAATGCTGTTAATTCAAAAAGTCAAGTAGTCAATTTAACACAATTTCATTAGCTGAAACTCGAACTTTCTGTTTCTTTCGGTGTGAAACGGCAAAACTGATGAATTCACTGAATGAATCTCCGGGAAATTTCATGGACGCTATCCAGGTTCACTTTTGAAGTATGAAGTACATCAGTGCAGTCTGAATAAATATGAGTGAAGTGGGATGCTGGTTTAAAAAACTGCTTTTAAACAAATGATAATTCCTTTTGCAGATAATTTGTATATCAAATCTCGGCCACTTTAATCCGGTCTTCAGATGATACAAATAATTATTTAACCTGTCTTCAATGTCTCTCAACAGGTTGATCTGGGAAACCGGTAGTAAATCGTTTAATTGTTCAGAAAATGTCAGCAATTTCTTTGATTCAAAAGACAGCGGCAGCAAAGTCTTAACTTTCGCAAGCTTATACAGACCTCTGTATAAGGGTGTATTTATACAGTCGACACACACAACTCTCTGACCTGATTTAGGCAAACTACGCCGCTTTCCGAAATTCAATCCGACTCTGAAAGAAACAAAAACATAATTATGTCAAAGTTAAGAAAACAATTAGGACGATGTTTAAAAAAAAACAACAGTTTATTGCATAACAGGTTGGCAAGTGTTATTTAAAATGGGGCGGGAGGGGAGCATCCCTGACCGTTAATTAAGAAATGTCAAGTTAACTAACAAAAATACACTGGAAAAACTGAATCCTAACCGATCTGTCGACCATCCCGTCCCCTCTGGTTTGCTAGTCAAAGGTTTACAATACATCTCGAAAGTTTTAACATATCTCAAGTCTGGACGACAAACCAACAGGGCAGATACCAGATACCTGGTTCAACCTCCACAGAAGTTATCATTACGGCCTATTCCCCGGGTGGGTTCCGTGAGGGAACAAGAATAGACCCACTGCCTGCCCAAGAGCTTGTCGTAAGAGTCGACTAATTGGGAGATTCCTTCGAAATCGGAATGCATCTGCTTAAGAGGCAAGGAACCAACAGTCTGCATACACATTAGTCAGAACGGTCAAACGGATGCACACGCAACAGTTAGGCTCTGAAACAGGACTTCAGTCCAGAAGTGGACGAACAGTCAGAACTTTCTGCCGGAGTTTACAGCCGGTGAATGCGAAGAAGAAGAAGATTATGGCCTCTTTTACGGCTACTCCAGTCAGGTGTAACCTATTGCTCTATGCGGGTAAGAACGCCTCAATTTAAATACAGGATTTCCTCTCTACCATTATGGAATCTTGGATCGACCCATAATCACCCCCCTCTCTCTCTCTCTCTCTCTCTCTCTCTCTCTCTCTCTCTCTCTCTCTCTCTCTCTCTCTCTCTCTCTCTCTCTCTCTCTCTCTCTCGCACACATCTTCCCCCTTTTCCCCATGAAGAACAGAGAACAGTTTTTACTGAGCAACTTACGAAGACAGTTAACAGCTAAAGCACCAGAAGGTCTTACAAGAGAAGCCCATATTTTTCCATAACTAAATACCGGGGAAGCCAGATTTCTTACTATGCTGCGACTAACTTTGACACGGACTAGAACATATTAGATGTTGTGTAGGATTCACAGACGTACTAATCTCACATCAGACGTTGTTTGGGACAGAATTAAATGACAAGCAACAAAGAACTGTCTTAGCCTATGACGTCTGGCCGAGATTTCCACCACTGCTGGTTCAAGTACTAGGTACACGCACGAAGACCATCCTACGTAATAATCTAGCATTATAAATAAATCTACCTGCCGGGTGATTATGCAATGTCACCGGCTCCGGTGAACTTTTGTAAACTTGCAAGGGCGGGCATAAAACGTGGCCTAGATTAAAATACATTTCTTGTTATCTGTTGTAGAGTAATCCCCTGGGCATGCCCCAAGGAACATGGAGTTGTACTGCTGGTTTGGCAATACCTGTCACTCCTTTATATATATATATATATATATATATATATATATATATATATATATATATATATATATATATATATATATATATATATATATATATATATATATCCTTGTCATTGAGAGTTAGAAACAGAATTCTTGCTTGCTTCATACATCCAGTTTTAACATATGGCTGTGAATCCTGGAAAATCGGTAGCCAGGCCAAACAATTTTTAGAGGCCTCAGAGATGTGGTTTTACAGAAGAATGCTTACAATACCTTGGGCAGCCAAAAAGAGCAACTAAGAGGTTTTGAAAGAGGCGGAAGCCCGAAGACAACTTATCACAGACATCAGAAGGAGACCGTCATCATTTTTCGGCCATGTTATGAGAAGAGGGAAAATAGAACATGTTGTGACCACTGGAAAGATCTGTGGAAGGAGTGATAGAGGAAGACAACGAGAGAAGATTCTTGACAGTCTTGTTGCATTGCATAGAGGTGTGTCGGCACACGAACTGATACATGCTGCAGGAGATCGCAGATTATGGAGAGGCATGATTGCCCAAGCCAGTGTACAAGGCACCTGATGATATATATATATATATATATATATATATATATATATATATGTGTGTGTGTGTGTGTGTGAGTGTGTGTTAAGTTACTTTACAAGACGTTGCAGAACCAACCCCAGCATTTTTTGGCTGTTGTGGTTTTCCTAGCCAAGTTTACGTCCAGCAGTTTGCCATTGCTCGATGGACGGTCGGCTTCTCGATACCTCTGTCGAAACCAACGCATGGCGCAAGGCCTGCAGCTGGGATCGAACCCGGTACCCCGGCATTACAAAGCGCGTTCGTAACGCCCAAGCCACAGACGCCGACATATAAGCATTAATTACAAAAGACAACCAACAGAATGCCTACAGATATATCGAACCCCGGTAGGTAACGATCGTGAAACTATGAAACATATTCACTAACCTCTAAGTTACACGTTTTTAAATAAACTCCCACAAATACCCAGTGTAAAAGAAATATGACCAAAATATTATGGAAAGTAAAGGCGGTCAGCGAGGTACTGATCACAACATCAACCAAGGGAAAATCAACCCCCCCCCCCTCCCTTCCCCAGTTTGGTGTGTGACACAGCACACAGGCTTCTGTGTCATGGACTGTCAACATTCCTAACAGATCTTACTAAATGACACGATGCCAATCTGACTAACATGTATCCCTGTCTCTCTCTCCCCCTCTCTCTCTCTCTCTCCATTTGTCTCTCTCCCCACCCCCCTCTCCCTCTCTCCCACACTCACCCAACCCTCTCATTGTCAACTTGTCTATTACCACAACGGACTCCAGTTACCCAAAAACAGTACACCTTGTGTCGCATGTCAATAGTTCCTCTTGTGTGTGTCATGTATTTCAAGAGCATCCCTGCCTTTGCCCGGTGCGCTACGAGGTCAATTCTTAAATCACTAAAGCACAGATGACGACTCTGTAATACCTTGAAGACGATGATGTAACAAACAACGAAGTCCACAATGAATTACTCACCTATAGTCTTGGAACAGTCACAATAATTATAGCTAGCAGTGATATGCATGCACCACGAAACAAATGTGTCCGGTAATAGACGATTACACGTCCTAGCTTATAAATAATAGGCATGCCTTATATGTGTGGTTTGATGTAGTTCCCCGGCCTGGTTATTTGACACCCATAAACTGAGACAGGTTGTTTATAAAAAAAAAAAAGGTCAGTCAGCCAAACAAACACTTCAAATGTCTGTTAATAGGCGATACCAACAGCTATGACACAAGAGATATTATTTTATATCAACGATTCTCAAACTGGCTTGTAAACAGCATCCTGTCCCGAAAGCTGAGGTATTTTGGAAATGCCAAGCACCATGGCGGTCTAGCGAGAACGGTGATGGAGGGTGCGTTTTTAGTCAACAAGGCAGAGGCAGATTTCATGCCCAGTAATGACTCATATTGCAAAGATGCATAATAATCGTTGACCGAAGAAAAAGAAGAAAAAGAAGAAGAAGAAGAAGAGGAAAGAAGAAGAAGAAGAAGAAGAAGAAGAAGAAGAAGAAGAAGAAGAAGAAGAAGAAGAAGAAGAAGAAGAAGAAGAAGAAGAAGAAGACAGAACCGCTGAACTGGAAGAGTATTTTTCAACCCAGTATTTTTAAAACATCAGGTTCCCCTGTCAGAAATTCAAAACTACAAGTTCGTCAGAGAAATCAACAGACACGTTACTAAAAAAAAAGCTGGATAATTGTATACGAAATGGTGGAGGAAAATCCAAATTGGCCATGCAATACAAAATTTAATTGAGATGTGTCTTTGGGGATGTGGGAGATAGATGGCCATTTTAAACGAGATCTGGGCGGACCGTTTTGTATAAGAGAGAAAAACAGGGTGCGTCGTGAAACGACTTTAGAATCCCAGTTCTAGATTAGCTTGTCTATGAAAAGCTGCTGGGGTACTTAAATGTAACAACAACATCCGGTTTCCTTAGACGATCCGTCTTGCCGTCCTTTTTAGGATGCAATATTTCGTTATTTGAAACCCTACTCTGGCTCATGCCAGGGGCCGCAATATAGCCCGGCCATAAATATGGCCTAATGGCTGAACGTGGTTTCTGGGACCTCTCCACGGTGATCCTCATCCACATGGTGGCACATTGTGTCATCGGGAGTTTATCGCTTGCGTGATGTCCTAGTGGGGTAGAAAGTCAGTCAGTCATCCGGTTTCCTTTGTGCCCTTGAAATCTTCTCACTTGTGTAATACTGGGTATCATTGGGCAACTCTCTCTCTTTCTTTCTGTGTCAGTGTGTGTGTGTGTGTGTGTGCACGCGCGCGCGCACG